ATGTATGTATGTATGTATGTATGTATGTATGTATGTATGTATGTATGCATGTATGTATGTATGTATGTATGTATGTATGTTTGTTTGTTTGTTTGTTTGTTTACATGGATAGATTATGGATGGTTGAAGGATGGATTATGAATTATGGATAAGTGATGGATGGATTGATGGATGGATGATGGATGGATGATGGATGGATAGAAGGTGGAAGGTACAGGTCCGAGTCTCATTCTTTACCCCATATATCTCATGGGCTCTTCTGAAAGGCAGCGGCAGATTATGACACATGGGGAAGGCATCGTACACCTGGAGACACAAATAGTGCCGGCTGTTCAAATCCATCACAGTGAATTCAATCAAAACAAAAGACTAGTGAAATATTTCAAATAACGTGAACGTTTCCATCTGAAAATAATTTTAATGAAGGACTAATGTTACAAACTCCCCTTAGAAGGATCATTTTTTGACCTGGTTGATGTCCTCGTAACCAGTTTTGTGAAATGGGTGTGATTTTTTTAATTATTATTATGTTTGTTTTAAGCTAAAAAAAATGTCTTGCTTTGCCTCACCAAGGCCCATGGTCCGTTGGCCATCTTGGCGAGCGCAGTGAAGCTACAAACGATGGTCTTGATCAGCTCGTCATCGTACTCGTATCGCGTTCCGAACAGAACCTGGCAGATGACGTTGGAGGTTGTGTTATGAAACATCACCTGAGGACTCAGCGTGCTGCCTGAAGAAAAAAAAAAAACATCCAAAGTAACTTGATTAAGCCTAACACATAAGTTTTGTCAGTGTTCGTGTTTGTCTCTCAGTCCCAGAAACCCGTCGTAAGCTCAGAGGTGACAGGGCTTTCTCTGTTGCAGGTCCACGAATGTGGAATGAGTTGCCACTGAGTGTCCGGCAGGCTCCCACACTCTCAGTCTTTAAGTCTCGCTTGAAGACCCACTTCTATTCGCTTGCCTTTAACACGGTGTGATTTGTTTTGGTCCGGTCTGTTCTCTACTCTGTTGGCCATTTTAGTTAGCTTCTGCTGCTATTTGTATCTGTATTTCTATTTTATGTTTTCCTGTCTGCTGTGCATGTTTGGTTCTTTTGTACAGCACTTTGGTTGGACTTGTTGCTGTTTTAAGTGCTATATAAATAAATTGGTATGGTATGGTATGGTTATATGAAACTGAGTGTCCCAAATAATGTTTTTGGAGCGGTCAGCAGCTCGTGGTCCTACATGCCCCACCATGTATTTTCAACAAACTGGAAGCTTAATGGGCACATTTGGAGCCTTAAAGTCCGTCAGTCAGACTGGAGTCTGAGATGATGATAAGAGATTTATTGATAAATGAGTTTTAGGAAGAGATTATGGAACCAAAGCTTTGACGGGGACCAATATGCCTGCAGAGCTGCTTGGAAGTCCCTGACTGACAGTATGCAGGTCAGTCAGGACCAGAATCTCCTTGACACCCTGAACCTCTTTTCTTGATTTGACAAGCAGCAGAGAGGAGCCTCACTCCTGAGAGAGCCTGGCCTGAGGTGGATCTGACATCCATCCACCATCAGCGCCAGGTGAAGTCCACTCTGAGCAGCATTACTACAATAAATGCATCCTTCACCTTTTCTCCCCTCCGATGCCGAGTCTGAATCTTGTTCTTTTATCCCTGATCCAGACTTTATGACCATTCGTGAGGGTTGGAATGAACCAGCAACTCCAGAGATTTGCCTTGCAGCTCAGCTCCTTCACCACCATAGCAGGCCAGATCAACATCCTCAATACTGCAGACCTTATGCATCTGTTCCTGAAAAAGACTCACTCCAACCCGGAGGGAGCTTTATTTCACTAAACAACAACAAAAGAATGGAAAAAAGTCTCTAAAGTCCAAATGTTTCCATTTTATTGTGTTTGTCAATAAAATAATTTAATAAATCCCTTATTCTGATATGTTTCTGTTCAGTGCCCTGAGAAGACTTTTGTTGTGATTTGGTGCTATATAAATAAACTGAATTTAATTTAATTGTAAAGAGAAATTAAATGCAATCACACAGTCGAGCAATGTGGATTGAAAGGTACCATACCAACACTCTTCTCCAGAGTTTTTATGGTGTACTGGATCTCATCGTGAATTCTGTCTTCCATCGACTTCTTTCCCAGACCGAAGTTCCTCAGTGTCATCAGAGCAAAGCGCCGATGTTCCCTCCAGCTGGGCCCATAATCTGCAAAAACCATTCCTGCAAGCCACAAACACAGATTTATATGAATGATTCTGGTGAAGCCACTGACTTTTCAAAAATGTTTCTAATTGTTTGAAAGGGTCTCAAATTCTAATGTTCAAAAAAATTGGCTAAACTAGTTCTTGAATCAGTCAGAGTTGCTGCAGGCCTCTGGAAGCCATCTGTTTAGTTTCTGTGAATCAAGAAGATCAAGAAATGTGAAACATTTGAGAAGGTTTGGAGACCATTGAAGCAGACTTTGTGACTGATCGGAGACAAAAGGAAGAATAAACTGGGATCAAATTGAGACATAACTAAGACGCTTTGTCTATAAACTGAGACACATTAATGTGCAAGGATGTTTCTGAACGTCACAATACATTTGCAGTTTTCAGACAAATGCAAACATGTCGTAATTACCAATTCTATCGATTTCCATTTGGATATTTTTTCCACAATAGTCTAGTCTCAGGCATAAAAATATAAATTGAATAAAGTTTTTCCCTTACAGTTTTCAGTTTACCCTCTTTAAGCAGAACAACAGAGAACTTGGACCACCCACAACCACCACTGACTCCCCACCTCCCTGGTGTCCTGCCTTTGCATCCACTTCAAAATTTCCATTATTTGACTCAAATCAGCCAGAAGAAAAAATTGTGAACTCCAGTTGTCCTTCAGTCCACAGAACCCTCAGAAAGACTCTGGTTTATTGGTCCAAATGTGGCTTTTCTTCAACAAAGCTGCTGCAGGGATCAGACAGTCCGAGTCAACATGTAGAGACATGAACGTGGAGCTTGCTTCTTCATTTCTTTACACTGCACCACTTCACAACATGAGTTAAATAATTAAAACAAGTCTATTCAAGTCAGGTTTATTTTTCAATCTTCTAAAAAAAAAATACCTCCTTGACTGCAGTCGATTGCTTTTTCTAATCTTTGTTTTGTGTTTAGTGGTGAATGAGGGCACGTTAAACCAACATCAGAACAAGTTCAGCCTGATTTTTCTTTGATCGGTCCATCGTGTGTAAAATGAGCTTCTCACTAAAATAAAAAGAAACAGAGGCAAAACATTTTCTTTATAATAGGAAGAGTTCTGTAACATTGAGCCTCTACCTTTCCTCTGTGTGACATCATTTATTAACAGATCCTGGGGCCGTCCAGCGAAGTCCATGGCCCTGACCACCATGGCCTCCTTCATGGCCTTCAGCCCATTGATGACCACAGCTGGTTTGGGACCGAGGAACAGACTGTAGATGTTTCCATAAGATCTTCTCAGCTGGGAGAAAAAAAGAAAAGCAATGTGCCCAGTTATTTTTGCCCATTAATACAGAGAGGATATTAATACTGAGATGTGCAGGAGAACACGGAATACTGCAGGTGTTTACAGACAACATCTGTAGTGAGGGTAGAGAGCAGGTGGAAGAGAGCCTAGAGAAGTGTAGCTGAAGAGACTTAAGGTGGATGAGTTGAATTCAAATCATATAAAAAAGCATTCTGTGAACTAATCAGATGCATTTGTCTTATTTAAAACTGTCAGCAACCAAAGTTTGAACTTTGAGCTGAATTATAGTTTAAGTCAGGCGAGTGGTGGCGCAGAAGTTATAGAAGGCGAGCCTGTAATTGGAAGATTTCCAGTTCAACTCCCTGGACCGACAACATCAAAATGTGGGTGGGAGAGTTGAAGCACCCACACCTGTCTCCACCCCATTTATCCTACTCTGGTCCCCTGAGCAAGACCTTTAACCCCAACCATCTGCTCCCCTGGGCACCCTAGATAGCAGCTCTCCGCTCCACACAGAGGGCTGTGGTAGCTCGGTGGTCTGTGGTTGTGTCAGGAAGGGCATCCAGCATCAAAACAATTGCCAAGTCTTCATGAAAGTTAGTTCACTGTGGCGACCCCTGAAGAAGAGAGCAGCCAAAACAAGAACAAATATATTGTAGTTTATCAGTCGGCTCGGTTGAGATTAAAAGAACTGACCTCTGTGTGACTAAGTGACTCATACATGACCAAAATGATCACTAAAAAGGATTTATTGACTCATTCTGTTATTGTCATAGTAACCCCGCCCCCCCTCACACACACACACACACACACATTCACAATGACTGGTTAATCAAGAGGTTTGTTTGTTCTCTTTACCTGCAACATGTGTTGACTGATTTCCAAGTGTGTGCAGCCAATCGTTTCAATATAAACATGTTACACAACCTCAACCAATGTTACACAACCTCAACCAATGTTACACAACCTCAACCAACGTTACATAACCACATGTAAGAAGGAGAAATGGTGGAGCGGCTTTCTTGAATACAAGCTTTTACCCAAGAGTTTTCCTTATTTCTTTTTAAATATTTTTACAGCTAACTGGTTTCATTTTTAGACTAAAATTATAAGACAGAACAACACATTGTCACCACAAATGCACAAATGTATGAAATGTTTTTTATAACCATATAGACATTTTAAAACTACCAGAGGAAACTTTTGTTCAGGATAAACGCTGAGAACTTTTTGAGGATTCTGAGGATTTTGCTGAAATTTGTTGAAGTGAAACTGAATTTTTAAATTGAAAACGAGCAGAACAGCATTAAAATTAGAACATAACTGAAACTAACTAAACAAGAGATCAAAGTTATTACTTAATTATGGCCAAAAACGATTATGTTCGCTAAAATCTAAAAGTACCAGAACAGAAACTAAAAACTAAAAGTAATTAGCACTACTCAAAAGTTTAAAGCATTAAAATGGTACCTAAAAGCTAAAAGGAGCAGAATGATAGCTAAAATTAGTAAAATTATTGGTAAATGTAGAAAAACAGTTACTAACAGCTAAAAGTAGCTAAATGCAAGCTAAAAAGCAACACAGTAATAAACAAGATTTGCTGAAGCATATTTAAATGACAACACTGCTTTTCAAGAAACTAAAAGTATATACATTTATATATATTAAATCT